GGAGGCCCCTTCCCGGCGGGACCGAGCGCGGCGAAAAGAGCCTGAGAACCAGAAGCGCGCAGCCCCTCTCCCCAGTTCCCGGAGCGCGCCCGCACCGCCCGCGCCCCTGGCCCCAGGCAGACGTGCCGGATCGCGGGGACCACCCGCCGCCCCCAGGCCCGCTCCCCTCCGCACGGCAGACGCGCGCTCACCGCCATGGTAGCGCCTCGCTCCCCGCCGCCACTCCGGCAACAACCAGTTTTCGCGCGAAAAGCGGCTCACGTGACCCGCCCGAGCCCGGGAAGCGTCCGAAAGGACACAGCGTCGTGACGTAGGCCTTATCTGCGTGCGCGGGGGGCGGGCCAGAGGAGGAGGCCCCGCCCCCACCTCCGAGGCCCCTCCCCTGCCCGGCCTTCCGGCAACCGTTCCCAGCGCTTCGACCCCCAGAGGTGTGGGAGCTGGAGCTGCGGGTGGGGGCAATGAAGACCAGCGCCACCTGCTGCCTGCGCGACCTTCGCCACCCTGTGGACATTTTACAGATGGGGCAACCGAGGCTCAGAGAGCCCTGTTTCCCAAGGTCTTATGAACAGAAAGTCTGTTTCAGCTACTCCAAAAGCCCTCAGGCCGAATTCTTCAAGCACCAAAACAGCTCCAGGATTGTAGGAGGCCACATTTGGTGTTCTAGTAAGTTATTTTGACTGAGGGAAGCAAAGATACCGAGATGTTCCAGATACAAAGAACGACAACTGTAAATATATAAGAGAGCACGGCGCAGCGGGGATCTCTAGGCATTTCTGTAGTTTCGGTTAAACAGCTTGCAATGCCCAGGAAAGGAGAATCCCTCAGGCTGCTCCTGGGTGGTGGTGGATTGAACCAAACTGGAGACCGTTGCTGCTGTCCTCTATCCAGCTAGCTCAAGCTAGGGCAGGTCCCTTGGTGAGCGCGGCAGTGAGGAAGCATCTCTGGATGGATTGCAGCGTAGGTGCAGGAGGGATGATGAGGACTGGAAATATGCCAGAGATACTTAGAAGAGAGAATCTATCGGCATTGGGTATTGAGGGCAGGCAAAAGGGAGGCATCCCGGATGACACCAGGATTCTGGCTTAGGAGACTAGGTGGATGATGGCACCACCTCTGAGATGGGGAGCTCAGAGGGAAGACAAATTTGGGGGCAAAGAGGATGTTTGTTTCTGGCTATGTTGAACATGGGCCCTGAGTGGAGATTTCCAGGAGGTCATCCAATGCTCGGGTCTGGACCTGGAGAGGGAATTTGGGCCTCAGCTGTAGATTGTCTTGAGAGTGGTTGGACAATCCAGAGAGTGAGCGCAGTGAGAAGACCCAGGCCTGGGACCTGGGAAACACTGACAGTTAGGAGGCACCAACAAAGGACTCTGGGCAGGAGATGGGATGCTGGGAGCTGCTGGGGAAAAGCCAGAGAAGAGATGGTGGATGGGACTATATTAGTTATCTATCGCCTTATAGCAAATTATCCTGGAATCCAGCAGCTTAAAGCAAGGACCGTGTCTAGGGGTCTGGGATCTGGCTGTGGCTTAGCAGGGTGTCTCTGCCTCAAGATCTCTCACAGTGCTGCTGTCAAGGTGCTGGCGGGGGCCTCAGTCTCGTCGGAAAGGCTCAGCTTGGGAAGGATCCACCTCCAAGCTGCCTCATGTTGCAGGAATCAGTTCCTCCCAGACTGTTGGATGAGGACTCGATTTCACACTGGCTGTTGGAGGGGGTCCTCTTACTTCCCTGCCATGTGGGCCTCCCCACAGGACATCTCACAACATGGCAGCTGGCTTTGCTCACAGCAAGTGAACTAGAGGGTATGAGAGGCCATATGAGACATCTGATAAGGAGCCAGCTCATTTCCGATCAAGCTTAGCCTTTTTCCTTTGTCAGCTGGTCACGAGGGACCTCTTGAATAGGTCATAGGTGTGAATGAGGGAGAGGCGCTGGTGTGACGGGGGTGGATGATATGGAGCTACAACATATCGCTTATAATCTGCTGGGCCCACATGAATTTACCACTTAGCGAGCCTGATAGAACCCAGTTCATTAGGGGCAGCTCTGGCCTTATGGTCCCTGATGTCCCCTAGTTCTCTCCAACAGGGTCCAGTAGCCTAGCGGAATTGCTTTTGGAATGCATATATAATTTTCTGCTGTAGGTGGCCTGGCGTTGCTCTAGAACCCTAGGGGTGTACATGATGGATTTCCCACTAGGGCTTGCCATAAACCTCACACAGCATCTTTACTCACCATCTATGCCTCTAATATTATAGGGTCTGTGAGCCCTGTGGTCCATGGGACAGCTCTTTCCTTTTATGTCATCCAGACATGTATGGGTCAGCGCAGAATTCTCAGGTGTAGAATATACTGCCTCCGGATCCCAAAGAGTGAGTTTTTGCATTGTGTTTCCTTCCCTGCAATGGGGTATTCAAGATGCAGTCTTTTGTCCTTTACTTTGGAAGGGATGTTCTGGTATGCCCCAGACCACTAAACTCCACTGATGTGGCAAGCCCCCACATCTTCCCGGGGTTTATCTTCCACCCGATTTGGAAGCATGTATGTTTCATCGAGGTCTTCGTTTACTTGTTACTTCTCGTTCAGCCAGCCAGATTAGTAGGATGTCATTGCAATGTTCTGTCAAATGTCCAGATGGCCAGGGCCCTTCGGACCGCATGACAAAGGTGGGAGAGTGACCACTGGCCTGGGGCAAGACCATAAATGTGAATGGCTGTCCTTCCCCGTGAATGTCAATGGTTCCTGATATGAGTGGTCAAATAGAAGGCCAGCCTCTGGGTCCCTGAGGCCGTGCCGATCCACGCTAGCAAGGACACCAGCACGGAAGCTGTGATTGGGGCTACTACTTGGTTGAGTTTGTAGCAATCTACCAGCATTTTCTGTATTTTTTAAAGATCAGACTGATGAATTAAATAGGGATACGATGGGGTCCATCCCCAACTCCAGATGCTTTAGGTCTCCATGGGTAGCACTAATCTCTGCATATCCCCTGCCATGTGATATTGTTTTTTTTGTTTTTGTTTTTGTTTTTGTTTTTTTTACTTATTATCTTGGCTAAGCTAGGTGGGTAGGAGGCAAGTTTCAGGGGCTTTCACTTGACCTTCACCTCTGAGAAAACTCTCCTCACACAGACCAAGGAACCAACATGGGCATTCTGCCAACTACTGAGTACGTATATCCCAGAGATCTTTTCAGCCTTCCTGGCTGCTCCTTTGGCCTCGACAGTTATATGACAATTGTACAGACTTTTCTTCTGACAGCGGAGCAGTCATGTTGTTTCTGTTGTTTTGAGATTTCCATTGCTTTCAGGGATCCCCGTTCTGTAGCAGCCATGGCCTAGAGAGGATGACCACCCCTGAGCCCAGTGTAGGACAAGGAACAGAACTTGGGAGTCTGATCTTTGTTTGTTAAACTACCACTTCTTGAACTTCGCTAATGCTCCGCTCTGTCCTGTATGTAGGGGATACCACAGTGAATAAGATCCTGATTCTGCCCTGAAGAGGAGGGCGCGAAATAGATACACCCTCGGAAATCCTGCAGAAACCTACACGCAAGGCCCCAAACCCAGGGTATAGAATGCAGAATTGTGCATTGCAATGATAATAGCAAACTGCCTGCCCCGGAAGTCTGTACTGTCTTAAAAAAACACACACACATAAAGATAAAGATGGAGGGTAGTCTTTTAGCCTGGTGACAGATACTCCATTTCTTCTTCCTGGAACATGGTAGGAGGGAAGTTTTCCTGCCCCCTGGAGGTGAGGAGTGGCCTAGGACTTGTTTTAGCTAATTAAACGTGAGCAGTGATGGAGTTCTTTTCTTAGCTTCCTGGCAACTCTAGGAATGGACTGTGACTCCCCGTAGCCCATTCAGGAAGGCAGGCTTCAGCTTGGGCACAGCCCCTCCTGGCCAATACAGAAACTGTGCACACTGACCACAGTCCAAGCTGGGAAAGTCCCAGACAAACCAAATCCCAAATGGTCACGAGGTGGTGACTTCCCAACCTTCTCCTGTTTTAGAAGAACGGGGTCCATCTCATTCCAGCCCAACTGTGAAGTGACCGTCTTATCACTGGGTGTGTGTCCTGAGGTTACCGTGATGAGTGGGTGTCTACAACTTGCACCAGGCACCGAGTCAGCCTCAGGATATTGCAAAGAAAGTGACAAACATGGTTTTGTCCTCGTGACATTGACATTCTAGTGGAGGGTGGCTGATGAACTAGGAAGCAAGTAAATGAATATAATCATGTTCGAGAGATGGTGCTTGGAGGGAAATAAAGGGGCATTATGTGAGAGACTGCACAGCTACTTTAGCTAGGGTGTCAAGGAGGTCATGTGACAAGGAGCCAGCCAGACAGGACAGATGCAGAGAGTGGGAGGCAGGGACAAGTTTGGTATATTTAAGGAAGAGAAACAGAAAGCACCGTGGCTTGAACACGCTGAATGAGGAGGGGTTAGGTGGGAAACGGTGACTCAGACGCAGGAGGGGCCAAACCACGCAGGGCCAGCAGAGGAGAAGCAGGAGTGAACACGGCAAGGATGGGGCAATCAGGGAAGGCTTCCCAGAGGAGATTGCCTGAAGACCTGTTGAAGTCAGAGATGAGAGGAGGGGCAGTTCAAACCCCGGGCGTCTTGACTTCCTAGTTGTATGGCTCTGGACAAGTTATTTAACGTCTCTAAGCCGCAGGTTCCTCCTCTGAATAGGCGGCTAATAATAACCGCCCTGCAAGGTTGTTGTGAAAATTAGTGCCTGAAACCCGATTGGTGCTCAATAATGCCAGAGCGCTTTGATGGTGGACGTAGGGGCAGCGTGGCATGCTGTGGAAACGCGTCGTTCCGGGAGAGGGGGAGGGGCTGTCCCTACCCTTCCTTCCCCAGCCAGGTGACCAAAGGTCACCAGGCAAGACTGCCGCTGAGGGGCGCCCGAGGCTGCAGCACGCGAGGGGGAGGTCCACGGAGGCTCCTCCCTGGACGGTCCGGCCGCGTCCGGGCCCCAGAGGAGGAGCACTGGCTGGAGCGAGCGGGTCTATTGACAGCTGCTGACAGCTGGGGCAGGAGCAGGGGCCAAAGGGGGGCAGCGTCCTCAGTTCTCGGGTCCGCGATCCTGGCAGCCTTCAGGGTGAGATACGTAGCAGCTTCCCTACCGCGAAGCTGCTTCCCTCCCCCGCAATGCCCTCTTGCTGCCTCTTTAAGAGGTCAGCGGGTCGCCCCGCCTCTTAGGGATCTGATTGGCTTCTTCCGCGGCTTGCGCCTTCTTTTTGATGTAACTCCATTTCTATAGGCTTCTGGGGGCTGGGGGCGGGCCTGAGGGCTATAAGTAGGGGCTGTGGCTGTTTTTGCAGTTTTGGCTGAACGAAAAGGACGCGCCTGCCATCTGGTCGCCGCTGCCGGGAAGGGCTGCGTGGTGTCCTGGGGGCCGGTGGGCCCGGCGCGCTGACCCCGTTTCCCCTTTCCCGCTGATTCCCCATTTCCGCGGAGCCGGCTGCCCCCGGCTCTTGCGCGACGTTCCCTGGCCTTGCTGCCTGCCCGGGGCGCTGGAGGCCGGAGTCCCGGGGCCTGGCCGGGTCTGCGCACCCTGCGGTGGTGGATGAGCGGCCCGGGCGGCGGGGGCTGAGCACGGCCCGGGACCCTCAGGTAAGGAGGGGATCCTCTCCCCTTTCCCGCCACACCTGGACGGGGAGCCCCATCGCGGCGCGTCCGGAAGCCCTGCCGCGGGGCTGGGTGCCCCCCTCCCTCTGCCGCGCCTGGGACCGGCGCTCCAGGGACGCCTCCCGGCCTCCGCCGCACCTACAGTCCCTCTCTGTCAGGGAGCTCCCAGAGCCCGGGTGCCCATAGTGACTCCCCGCGACAGCTGCGGGAGAGCGGGGAGCTGATCGGCACCCCCACCCCCATCCTCACAGCTGGACCTGGGGCCCACCTGTCGCCGTTCCTTCCTTTCGGAATGACCCCTTCCCGCTCACGGCACACTCTCAGAGGACCCCCTTGGGGGAAGTTTCAGAGGGCCAGGGGCCCCTGGGTGAGGACTCACGGGAAGAGGGGACGGGTAATTGGGAGGCCCGTAGATGGGATGGGGCGGCTGAGCCCTCTGCGAGGGGGAATGAGGACACACAGGGCTGCACAGGCCCGGGGCTGGCCATCGAACAGGGCTGGTGGACCCTGGGGCTTGAGGCTGTGTAGGAGGAGATCTAGGCCAAGTGGCCCCGCATCTGGGCCTGTGTCCCCACCTACAAACAGCGTGACAGGACCTGCTTCCACAGCAGGAGGTGTTGTTTATAAGGCCGGGGCTGCTGTTGCATCAAGGACCGTCTGGGAGGCTCAGAGACCGCTTCCACCGGATCAGGGGGGATGGAGGGTGGAGAGCGATTTTGCCTTCTGCCTCTGTAGTGGGGATGAGGCTGTGGGGTCCTCCCAGGCGATCCTTCTCCAGCTCCCCAGAAGGGCTTGGCCGCACTCTGCTGGAGATTCATCTGTCCACATTGTAACGTTTTGGTGAGAACTTAATTCTGTGCCAGGCGCTATTCTAGGGGATTGGGTCATGAGCGCGCCTGGGATGGGCAGCCAGTAAACACATAAACACGCAGCTGGGGCCACTTCAAATGAAGTGCTGTAAAGAAAACACAGGGCGGGCCAGCCATGAGAGATGGTTAAGGAGTGCCCTGAGGAAGTGGGCCACGTGAGGAGATGATGCAGGAGAGGAGCAAGCACCAAGGCCCTGAGGTAGGAGGAGGCTTAACAGCTTGGAGAACAAGGTGGAAGCCAGGGGCTAGAGAATGGAAGGGAATGAGGCAGAGCAGAAGGCAGGGGTCAGATCAGATTGGGCTTTGACAGATGAGGGAAGGGGCCCAGGGCTTCCCATCCTCCCAGGGGCTCCTGCCTGGGCTGCTGGCAGTGTGTCTCAGACAGTGTCCACCTCCCCACCCCCAAGGATGAAAGATAAGGGGTTGGCGTCTGTCCTCTGGAGCCTTCTGATTTTGTTTTGGTTCTAGGGTTTAGAAGCTCAGCAATCTGCTAGGGGTCAGAAGCCCCGAGAGGCGTGACAGCAACTATGAGGCATGGCCTCTCTCTTACGCTCGGGGCTCTCTGTCTTCCCTAGAGTTTTCCATCCAGCCCTGATCAATCCCAATGCACAGATGGGAAAGCTGAGGCCCAGAGAAGGGAAAATCCCATCCAGTGGCTCATAGCAGGTCTGGCACTGAATGACTGGAGCCAGCCTGGCATCCTGCCCCATAGGCTGGCCACAGAGGAAGGGATGGAACTGGAGGCCCAAGTGGTGAGTGGGAAGATGGCCTCTAGAATGTTAACAAGGTCAGGAAAGTCCCTCCCAGGTGGAAGACAAGTCTGTCCCAGTTTCCCTGGGCCTGAGAGGCTTGGGGTTGCCTTAGGCTACTCAAGCATCCCAGAAAGTCCCCTGAGAATTCCCCTCTCTAGTCTGGGCTCCACCCCTACTGCCCCCTGCCCTCAGCCGGCCTTCCCACCATCTCCTGTCCCTCTGTCCCCCATTTCCTGAGCCTGCAGTCCCCTTCCTTGTCTGTCACCACCAAGACTTCTGCCTCTGAGGCCAGGGAGGAGAATGTAGAGCCAGTGACTCACCCCTCTGTGCCTCTCCTTTCCCCCTCTGTACAATGGGTACAAAGTAGTTCCCTCTCATTTAGGGGCTGCTGTGTTAGTTAAGTGTGTCACCACACGTAAAGTCCTCTGTCTCCAGGTAGTGTGCGTGGTTGTTTCATTTTTTTATCATTGCCTCAGTCGATTTGTAAGCTTTGACCCATAGTGGCAATTCTGGTGTGGCCCACAGCCTCATGACCCAGCTGTGGCTCTCTGACCAGCAGCGCCGCAGGGGTTAGCGTTGAGGACTGTCAGCTGGGCCCCGTGCCTGCGGATCAGAACCTGCCTGTGCACAGTGCTCAGGTCTGAGAAGCACAGCTCTAGATGAAGCCTTTCATCTACAGGTGGAGAGATCAGTGCCTGGAGAGGGGCCCTTGGCAAGTTGCCACTTGAGGGCCTGGGCACTGGAGACAGATTACGTCGCAGGCGGCTCGCTGGCCCTGAGCTTTGTACGGTGGGGGTAACAGAAGTACTTCCCTTGTGGGGCTGGGAGGGCTCAGCGAGTATTCTGTGCTGTCATTGCAGAGTCAGCAGGGGCACTGGTGGGGAGCAGTCGATGTTCTTCTCCTTCATCACCCCCCAGCCAGCAGTGCTTGCAAAGGGGCCCTTGGACTTGGAACCAAATCCTTCTTTCCTCTACACCCCAAGCTCTCCTCTGGGGGTGGAGGGGGCGGGAAGCAACAATTACCCTTATGTTACCTTTTGTAGACCTTTGCTTCTCTGTCCTTGTCTGATCCTCAGCACCTTTGTCCGGCAAGTGTTATTGTCCCTGTGACGCTCAGAGAGGAGAAACGACTCACGCAGGGTCACGGAGCAAGTACGCGGCAGGGCCAGAAGTGCAACCCGGATCTGCCCAACTCCATAACGTGTGTTAGCCGGAAGTTTTTCAGTAGTACAGGAGAGAAATCAGACTCCACCAGACCTAAGCAGAGAAAGGCATTTGTGGGATTTAAAACTCAAAAGAAAGTCCAGGGGTAGGATGAACTTCAGGTGTGGCCAGATCCAGGGGCTCGCATGAGGCTGTTCTGTCTCCGGGATGTATTTCCATCTGTCTCTCGGTTCTATATTCCTCGAAGTTGGCTTTATTCTCGGGTGGGTATCCATGTGCAGGGTCAAAGTGGGACAGCCCTGGCGTACTGCTTTTAGCAGAAAGCCCATCTGTTCCAAACAACTATAGCAAAAGTCTCAGGGCTGATTCTCATCGGTCGGGGCAGGGGAGCATCCCGACTGGCCGGGCTTAGATCCCGTGCACGTTCCTTGGAGCTGTGATACAGTCCGCTGTGCCCAAACTTCATGGGCAGAGACTGGGGAACCCTCAGGAAAATGGGGCGCTGGACAGGCAAAACCAAGTGACGCTTCCCCCTTCAGACTCTCTCTCCGGCTCTCCTGCTCCTTGGCCCTGTTCATCCCCACTGGGGACTGGGATCCCCATCCCTTCACAAGGAACTCTCAGCTTCCCGGCGGCTGCTGGGAGCTTGGCCTCCTCAACAGCCACATGCAGGTGCAGACAAGGGGCTTTCCTCCTTCAAGGTATCGGGTGCTCAGGAAGGAAAACGTTTCTTGGGAGACTTCCCCCGTGTGGCATCACGTGCCCTGGCCTGAACTGGCCACCAGCAAGGAGAACACCCTTCTTGACTTTGACCAGAGCCTCCCTTCAGGGCACTGTTGGCAAAGGTGAGGACGATTATCCATTTGGTGGACCGTCCCCCATGTTGCAGGACATTGGCAGCCTTGGCCCTTGTCTATAAAAACATCATAGCACCCTGCCCCCGCAGTCCCTGTGTCAAACTGGAGCACCCCTGCACACGGCCCAAGAGCCTGGTCCTGTTCCACACTGCCCCGACCCAAAGCCACTGGCCAATAGTAGTTCAGCTTGTGGCCCGGGAGAGGGGTCCCTGCCTGTTCAGCAGGGCATCATGGAGGGGACCTGGACGAGAACAGCACTTTGTCAGTTAGGGACAAGGGAGCAGTGTTTGGTGGGGCCACATTAACAGCACTGGCCTTGCCATTGCAAAATATCCAGTGGCTGAGGCCAGAAGGCACCACATCCTTCCTGTCTTCCCTCGTTCCCTCCGTGTGTCCGTGGGGAGGTCAGGTCGGCCAACCCTCCCGAAGGTATCCCAAATTCCTCCACTCCACCCCCACTGCAGCCACGCCCTCCCGCCTGCACTGGTACAGGGGCTTCACTCTGCCCCCGCTCCAGTCCGTTTTCCACGGCAGCCTGAGTGGAAAGGGGATCCCGTCCCCTGCCTTCGTGACACGCTTCTCATTGCATTTAGAATGAAATCGCATTGCATGTGGTCATGTGGCCCCCAGTGACCTGGCCCTGCCAGCCTTTCTGATCACCTCCAGCCACACTGGCCTGCTTTTTGCCCTTTGAACAGGCCAAGCCTGTTTGTATCTCACGGCGTTTCCATTCATTGTTCTCTTGCAGATATGCTCTTTGTCCAGATTTTTCCAAGTCTGCCTGCTTCTCGATTAGTTAGATCTAGTGCAGAAGGCACTGGGTTGTCTGACGACCCAGTCCAAAGCAGCACCTCTTTATATTCATTGGGATTCTGCCTTAGCTGTTGAAACAAAGGTCGAGACAACAAGATAGAAGATTACTCCTGCATGTCGCGTGACAGTCTGCGTGCAAGCCGTCCAGGATATGCATGGAGGCCTATTGGGTGTGGGACCCAGATGCTTTTTCTTACTGCTCTCTCCTCAAGCCATGGCTTCCGTCTCGTGGTGTAAGATGGCTGCTGTTGCTCCTGCCACCACATCCCTATTCCAGGCAGTGGGAAAGGAGAAGTGCATGGCCTGAAATTGACAAACTCATTAAATTAACTGTTCATTTACAATTGGATAAAAGTTGATTGAGGGGCCATGGCCAGTGGCAAGGGAAGCTTAGAAAATAGCCATTGTTCTGGGCAGCCTTGTGTGAGCTATGGGCTCTAGTGCTAAAGGGAAGGGTGGATGCTGGGGACCCTGGTAGTCTCTACTGTGTTACCCCTTGTTCCATTCCACTCCTCCGTTTTCTTCTCTGAGCCTTTATCTCTAGGAGAAGTTTGCTTCGTAATGCAGTTTTCATGCTGGCTGGCTGCCTCCCCTCCTAGAACAAAGGGGGAAGTGTGGCCCAACACCCAGATTCCTCCCTGGCTCGCGGTAGGTGCTGCTGCTGCGGGCGGAAAATGCACGAAGAACGCACCCTTTCTTTGGACCTACTGTGTGTCGGGCATATGTTTGCCCTGTTGGTTTGGCCTCGAGTTGCCAATGGGGATGTGATCCACAGGCAGCGAGTGGCCTGTTAGAGAGAGGGACGGGGGAGGATGGTCTCAGCCCACCTGCCTCAGTCTCCTCTCCCTTTCAGCCAGAGGCAGTTGCTCCCGTTTCATGGCCTGGATAGGTAGCAGGGATGTCCCTGTATCCCCTCCAGCCCTCGCCTTTGGCCTGTCGTTCAGGGGCCACCAATCCTTGCTAACAGGGCGCTGAGCGTCCTGGGCTGCCCCTGGCTGAGTGTGAGGTCTGCACTCTCGGGGTGTAAACAGAACGCGTCTTTCTAATTTTTTAAAACTTACTGACGTGTAACCCGTGCAGAAAAGCACACAGATCCTAGATGCGACTCAGTGGATTCTGACCGGGTGAACACGCCTGTGTGGGGGGGGGGGGGGGGGGGGGGGGGGGGGGGGGGGGGGGGGGG